GACAACTGGATGCTAGATGGCCAAGACCTGTCAATTTTGGTAGGTTTTTGAGTATTCACCACACCATGAAAATAAAAATGGTGCTGATATTTAATGTCTGCTTTCACTAGAGAAATGAAAAGTCACTTGAGAGTCTCAGGTATCAAAGATATATATGTTAGTCAATTTATGTACCGGAACTAAGATCACATTCCAGAGTTACAAGACTAAACCGGTGGAAATTTGGATTGCAATATCGAAATTATTTTGTTTGTTTCCACTTTGTTAACTTGCTCGTATTGTAGGTTATTTTAACGCGTCAAAGGATCAAATGAAGACTTTCAAAGCTGGAAATCAACCAATATTCCCAATCAAACGTTAAGTGATATCCTTCCTTTAATATTATTTATTGATATTTATGATTCACGTAGAATTATTTGAGAAATTTTGTCAACCAAAGAGGAATCGGAGTCAATTTATGGAAGGTTGATAAAACAGTTATTAATGTAATAGCTCAGCATGAAAGATTAATAGTGGATGGCAGGGACATTCTGAAAGCTACAAAAAAACCTAAAATTAACTTTCAAAAATAAGAAAAGGCGAGTTTATTACGCATAGTTAAAAAATTTGTGTTATATTTTATTATTCTGTCACCAATAACTTTAATAGAATCTTAGTTTTCAACGCCATTGAAATAAACAAAATCGATAGTCAAATTTAACATTACCAAAAAACTAATAAATAAATTGAGCCTAAAAAATTGATGATACAAAACACCGAGCGAATAAATTTTGAGTGGGTGGTTAAAATGATTGTAACGGCGCTGCATTTATGTAATATAGCCAATATTATCAACAAAAAAATTATTTTCATTATATATTTTCCTTTTAGAGAACGATTATAAAAATAATTATTTAAAATGGATATCTTTCACTTGGCTCACTTTAAGCAGTTTTACTTTAGTGATTTTGTGATATTTTGGAAAAGTACACTATCGTTCAAATGAGTTACGCAGGTTAAAGAATGGACCTGCACGCACATCTGGAAGCCAAGTGAAGTAAATTATCAGGAAGAAGTTTAATACATTCAGGTATTTACATCTGAAGTAAATACGATAAACTTTTATAAAAAATGCCAAATCAGACACCCTGACAGTAAATTTTGTCTAAAAAATCTCCCTTGTTTGAAAAAGTGGAGTCTTATAATGAAGACTAAATATAACCAAATACTTGAGTGATATTGAGTAAACAAACTCTCTATGGAATGCAGAAAATGCAAATAATGCATTGAATTAAGGAAATTTTTATGATATTTTTAAGCTCACCAAACCATTGGTACTTCAAGTCTACTGCCATTTGGACAAATCTTCAATCTTGGAAGTCCATTTTCACAATTACGACCTTTGTAAGCTCATTGCAACAGTTGCTTACTATTACATCACTTTTAAGACCCTTTGCAGCGGAACAGAGTTGAGACATTTTAGAATATTTGGTATTCTGAAGACTTATTGAGAATCCCTAAATTAACGATTTTGAAAAACTTAAAAAATCTATTCTAGGTATTGAAATAACGCTTTAAAATCAAATATCTTGATTCTTGTGAATGTGCAAAACTTATGGTTATTGATTTATTTGCAGACTAAACTTGAACAGAAGTAATTATTGCAATATTAAAAGCTGCTGTTCACTTGCTCGAAAGTCATTGGTAGTTATTCAATCTCTTTGGCTCCCTTAGCCCACTTTCGACGTTGACCCGCAGGCTCATTCACCTTTTTATTTATAATTTTTCTTTTAAGAAAGTAGTGCAACATTGTACTCTGTTTTTTTTGCCGCATTAAATTCTAGATAAGTTAGAGAAGAAATTACAAAACGCAGAATTTTTTGAGCCCTATAGATTTGTTAAAAAAAGTTATTACAATATTTGATGATCTCATTATAATAATCTGCTCTTTATCCTTTTAAAGACACTACCCCATCTATGTCACTTGAATTCCTTTTTAGAGGTTATTGTAATAATGTGTCATTGTGATATCATCAGCCTACCTTTAAATTGTTTAGTCAAAACCTTTACTCCCCTGTTTGATTGCGAAGTGTGGTAAGTGGAGTCACGTTGGTATATAATCTGTTTGTCAATATCATAAGATGCAAGTTCGTAGGTAATACATTTTTTTCCCAATTAGACGTGTGCCTGAATTCCCGGTTACACTGATTGTATAAAGCCCACACCATGGCTGGTTCATTAGTGGATACTTGTTTTGGAGATATACCATTGGCGGCAAATAACATAATCAATAAACTTAACTCAATAATCAAGATTGTTCGTAATAATATTGCGGTGTCTTATTACGCTTACTTTGAATGGTTTATTGGTTTAATTCATTTTTAGGAAAGTCTGTTTAAACGTTTTACTCTTTTGTGTTTAGAATTTTTGAAACCGTTTGTTTTTAAAAGTGCGTTACTAGCTCTTGATTTTCAATGGTTATGAAGTCACACTTTAAATTAAAGGACCTTTTGAGTTATCAACTTGAAGGCCGAAAATGCTGAATCAATGTAATAGGAAGTTAATTTACTGCAATATCATTTAATGTCCTTAGTTAAATTGCTGCTTGCCTGTATGTTTCACACTACTTTTAGCTAACTGAATCTGAATCAAGTACCATTTCTCAGCACGGAGAACTATTTTTTTTAGCTGGGGCTGAAAATCTGTTCAATCGTCTGAGCGGTATGGATGACATTTTTTTCCAGTGTGAAAATAAATCACGCGTTATCAGTCTTTATTTGTTTGGCCTACCGCTATAGAATTAGACTTTTGTCATAATTGCAGGAGGCTCTTTGCGCCATACTCGATGTGGGCGCACATATGGACGGTTCTCCTCTCCGTTCCGCTCATGAATGTCTAAAACTGCTTGCACAGCGTCGGGTTTGGCATTTCAACTTATTCTCACCCTCTCTACTTAGTTGTTTTCCCAAAGCAAAGATCATTTTGCGCTTGTACTGGTGGGCACTGAAACCACTGACGGAGTGTCGGCTAACATAGATACCGGTTTGGCAAATGTTTCCATTGTACGGGAACTCTCACCATATGATTGGGATATACTTGAAACGCTAAACAATGGGTTTACAGCAACTTCTTCAACAGGAGACTGTAATTTCTCCCTGGTCTGATCTCCTCTTTTAGTGTTAGGTGCAATGCTAGTAGGATTAAAACACCTAATTCGAAAGGCCAAGTAGATTGTCAATTGTGAGATTTACTAAATCTGATAGTGCTGTTGGTAAAATTATGGAAAAACGCATAATTGTTTTGAGCAATCTCGGAGGACAAACAGACACGGCACAATTGAGTGAGGTTATTAAGAGCTTACAAAGCGCGCACGTAAGCGTGAGCATTATCGGCTACCATATTCCCTCACGATATGAATTGAAGCATCAGGAGGAGAACGCAGCAGGACCATCTAAACGTGTGGCATTTTCATCCAGGATGCAAGAAAGGGTGTCAGCATTTAATGAACTTCTTGGTGCTTTGCGTGGAACCAGCTTTGATTTTAAGTAAGTTGCGTATTTACCTCATTATCCGAGCATCGAAATGGGTAAACAATCTTAAAATCTGTTCGGTAAATTGAATCAAAAAGTACAGCCTAAATTTTATCGGATTCAGAAATTTCCAACCAGTGTAACTGATGCAGCAAAGCAGCTGCGCTTATTTTTCTGGTGTGGTGATTCAATTTCTGTAATGTGTTTGTTTTTCTCTTTTACAAACATAACCGACAGGGAAAGTATCTTGTTCGGCAAGTGTTAACACCGACTTGATTTACGAATCACTTTCACACTTTTAACGAAGCCAATTCAATAAGTCCCTGAATGGAATCACTTAGTGACAATAAACAAACAATATTTTATGAATGTCCATGAAATTCCTTCTGATTTTTGGGCCAGAAAACATTACAGTTTAGGCCGGAATTCATGCGAACAGGTGTTTTGTCAGTGTTATTACCAAATAGACTATCTTGAACGTAATTCGTTCATTGAGGAAAGGGCTAAAATAATTGGAATGTCAGCTATTGTGGTCATATTTGGGTTACCAGTTTGTTTTACCCATAAAATAGCTATTTGAGCTTAAAAGTTAGTGCGAAGATGACTGGTTTATTAGTTCCCTAGGCTTGGCTTCGTCGTGTTACGTCTGCATGCGTAGACCAGGTGAACAGTGAGCTTTGGGGTATGTGTGTACTCAGCAATGCTTAAAGGGAATTGTATTAAGAGATAAGCGATTCGGGTATTATGTAGGCGCTAAGTACAATTTTTCATTGTTATTAGTGATTAATGCAAACCTTCAACACAACCGTTTTCCACCGTAATACAAAACCCGAATGGGTAATGTGAGTTAAACATTTCCTAACACAGGCCTAGACTTCATGTGGCCGGATATGTCAGAAGCCTTCATAGTAATATTCCGTATGTCTTGTATTGTGTCGAAGTCTTTGGTCCATAGCATACACGCGATGCGGGATGCCGTGATGCTAATAGAAAGTCGTTGATTTCAAACAAATAATCCTGCTAATTTAAAATAAGTATGCACAGCAAGTGGCGGTTGTGATCCTCTGCTGGGTGTAATGCTAGCTGTTTTCTGTGATTTTTTAGTGCCATCAGTCCCGTAACTGTTGTTTTATTTAGTTGTGTCATTCAAGTCAATTTTTTACGAGCCCCTGTGTTTAGTAAGTAGGCATACATAGGTATGAATTTCACAAATCTTTCCTGATGTAAATTTGTGTATAGCTGAAATAACCAGGAAAGAATCTGAAAGTCTGTACATCGAATTGGTAATTCTAGAAGTTTTATAAGGACGCACAAATGGAGGTGCTCACATATCGCCCATAAGTTCGGGCGTAATGATAACCTTTGGTGAGCGAAAGTTTGCAGGTATCATTTAATGAAAACCGTAAAGTTAAGTTCCTCGGATTACTGGTAAGTGTTGCAAATCAAGTAATGCGACATGACTTTTAAGAAAGTTGTTTTAATGCTCGGAAAATGAAATCAACCAGTGATGTAAGGTAGGCGGTGGACATTTACAGCTTTACGTTATTGGACCTCACAATCTCACCTGTGCCTTCATGCCAAATAAATACACATCGCTTTACCTCGGATACGAGTAGTAGAGGCTAATATTAAGTATCGGACTTTTGTTTAGGCTTTTTGTTCCTCGAAATATATATGACTTCCGGATAAACATTCCTAGACTAATGTAGATTGAATCCCAGAAATGTAGATATCATTTGTGTACTTAGTACTAAGGTTCCACAAGGATTTCAAATCTACTGATCCAAACTAAGAAACACTGACGGGTGGAGTTCTGGTCGCTCCATGAGTACGCGTTGATTAATGTTGACAGGAATGTAGATTAAGCGGTCATTGTTTGTGGCCTTCAAGCGAGGCGATTCCGAGTCTGAACCTGTTCCAGAATCGGGCCCTGCCGACTAGACCCTGGAAGGTCGACCTGATGCTTGGGGAGGACTTTCGCATTCCCCTTGCTGGCTTCACTCTAGTACAAGAATCTCGTCCTCCCACTCTGTGCAATTTTTTAGCACGAGATCCCAGCGTGGGGGTTGCAGCTGTCACGACGTATCATTTGAATGATGAATCACAAACTCATGTTGCCAAAGAGGACACAATTAGTGGTGAGCACATTTGAGCATTTAACATTTTTCGGCTCTTAAAACGTATATTCTCAACTCCCTCACAGGGAAAGATCAGTTTTGCCCAAAAGCAATGTCCGTTGTTTGTTATAAGTGCTTCCGATAGCACTTTATCGCACGTCGTTTGGGGTGTCACATTAGCTAATTTACACTCATTTTAACGGCGGTTATGTCTACAAGTAATCATGTCCTTACTCACGGCTTCCTTGATGTTAATTAAAACTCCTGTGGGGGACATTACTCTTGCACCATCTTCATGCCTTCTGAAACGGTCACCTTGTTTAATACTTTGAAATGGTAGCAATGGTGGGCGAACGCCTTCATGCGGTGAAGCCGTAGTTTGTATAAGAGCCGATAAAGGAATCCTTCATGGTCAGAAGAACTTTGTTTTGTGGTTTTGATTTTGACCACATCCCAACTATTTCCTGTGATGCAGGCAGGGCTTTTTTATAGGTTTCTGGTACGGAACTACTCTTGTCCCTTTTACCAAAGAAGATTTGGATAAGGTAGATAAAAAAGACGAAAAGTGCTTCTCCGTCATTGGCTTTGCAAAGTCAGAAAGTGTAAGTTTAGTTTTTGAATTTTGAAATACCCTTGCATTGTTATTGGTCAATTGTCAGTTTATACGCATTGTAATCATGTCACTTCCTACAAGGCCGAACTTTTACATTTACCAATGCATTTCCACCGCAAAAAATTCTCATACCCAGCTTAAAGCGATTAATTCTTGAGCTTGATTTACTGTACCGTCAAGTCAGGCTTTAACTTGGAGAGCTACGTTTCACACCAATCTTGCCGTGTGCCAGGGAATTAATGGTGCTCTTAAGGCACGCAGTTCGCTACCAATTTGATTTAGGACCAGAGGCGACTTCTAGCAAAATGAGTTAGCACTTGACAAACTAATATTTAGTACTTTATCTACTTATTGTTGATTCGTGTATACCGTTGTGAATTTCCGTTTCCATGTATAATTTTAGATTCCTCGCTACCTCTACGTTGGCAAGAATGTTGTGCTTTTTGTCGCGAATACAGCCACTAAAAGTCACAGCGAAGAGTCTGAATCGGAGGCTGTACGTCTTTTTTGAAATTTTCCAATGGCACAGCGAATTGCCGCATACAATCTCGCGTCTTTTATCCTTTAATTTTATTTTTATGTGTACTGGAACTGAGTTTTGTATGTATTTTACGATCTTGTCGCAAAGTACTTCTAGCATTAACAACCTGATGATCGCAGTAGGACTTTTTAAGGCCCTGTAGCAACGTCGCACTTCATGCATCCACTTGATAATCCTCTTGTTCATTAATACCGACTGAAACCAATCACGAGGAAGGTGGTTACGGGACGATACCACGAAAGAAAGTGAATAGTTTATTTATCCATTGGGTACAACCGTGTCTGATGATTAGGAAGCCAGAGCCAATGCACAAAAGTTAGCCTTATTTTTGAGCAATCGTCCTATAGACAATCCAAAGGGTTCGTTTGTGGTTTGGGCATCTATCCCCATTACAGGTAGATGTTTTGGATCTACGTCGCGGGAATGGATTGCCAACGCTAACGACTGTTTCTCGGTTTGTCATAGTGGTTAATAAATTTATAATCCTGCACAATTGCTTAGCTTTCTATTGAATAAATTTACACAGTTCCGACATCCCGCGTGCACTGCTGTCTCGGCGTTGGCCCAGGCCTTGGTTGAACTCGAGTCCGTTGCACTCGTGCGACGTGTCTACTCTCGTGCGTCTGCCCCTGCACTGGGTCTTCTGGCGCCAAGGTAAGTCGTCAAGACAACAAAATTTTTCAAAATTCAAATATTACTTAGTAGCTGTAAGTGAGTGCGAATCTAGACCACCCCCTACTAGCAAAGTCACACTCTTGTGATTGTTCGTTGTTTTCCTTGAACATTGACTCCAAGTGATTAACTTAGAACTACCATTCACGGGGGTTGTTACTTGCTTTCTAGGATTTAGTGTCGATATCTCCTTTTTTCATATTCGCCTGGGCTGTGACCAGTAGTTATTGTATGGTAAAACAATCGCTTGAATCTCTGGTTTGCTGTGTTCGTTATCTACAGCAATTGGTTTTGATTTACTCTGTTGTACCTGGATCTTAGCAAGTTACTCACTGTTTCTGCTGTTTGGAACTAATTTAAGGTATTTCCTTCAGCCAATCTCTGTTATCCTGTTACAACTTATACTGCTTTAAATAAGCAAGCTGACGCAAGGAAAGACGATAAAACTAATGACGCATTGTTTTGTCTTCAGAATTACCTCATCAGGGGCTGGTCTACTTTACCATAAGTTGGCTTTTCGAGAAGATGTTCGAACCTTCACACTTCTAAGTCTACCACTTGTCATGAGCAATGAGGATGAAGATAACTCAGGCTTACTCTCTAAGGAAGAGAAGTGGAGACCCAGCAGCGATCAGCTCCGCGCCATGGATGCATTTGTCTCAAGTATGATGCTTGATGACGACAATTGTGTTGGCGATGAGGACGATTGTGTGAGCAACGCAGAAATCGACGACACCTCCAGGTGGGGTGTAGTCGCTTACTCTGATCACTAGACATGCCAAAATGGGTAATGGTCGTAAGATCATTGTATTGTTTTAAGGAAGTCGGCTTCCCCTCAAATAATTTCTTCTCCTGTAATTCGAAACGTCGACGTAAACACGAGGTTACGATCTAGAGTACCTTAGGACAGCGCTGCATGTTTATGCTAACTAGGATTATTCCTTCTGGGTACATGTCAAGTCCAAAAGTTATTCAAACATCTTCAGTTTTCTTCGATAGCCACCACCGTGTTGTCAATGTCTTCATTAAAAGATACGGGGCTGTGTAATAACTAGTAATCTGGTAACGATTGAGTAATCACCCCTTCTTCAACGTTGTAATTGGGCTCATCGTTGGTTGTAGGCAGAAACCTTAATAGACCTGATGCCATTATCTTATTGTGGGGACATTAACAGGGATTAAATTTAGCGGATTCAAAAGATAGTGAAAAGACTAGGGATAGAAAAAGACATATCTCTTTATTAACCTGACGCGAAGAATGTTATTGTGTGGGGTAGACATTTATGTCCAAAGTCAAGAATGTGGGGTAAGGAAATATTCAATGTAGAAAATTAAGAGCTTGAAGCAGGCTCCAACTTGGGCTCTTAATAGTTATGCGTAAACAATGTGCATGTGCGTCCGATTAGTTTGTGTACCTTCATACTCCTCTCACTGTATGCGGTCTTTGCAGGGCACTCGTTTTCCAAACATCGCCAATAATCATTCTGTTTTTGAGTGTTGTCCTATAGCGCTTTTTCTGCTTTAAAGTGCCGAGCGTGTTGGGCTCCGAGCTGCCATCACCCCAGAACGCGTTCCCAACCCCTGGATTCTACGATTCTTCACTCTTGTCTGTGAGCGAGGTCTTGGGAACCCATCGTTGCCCGAAGTACCCATCTTAACTAATGGCTGGCCATCTCTGAATCCCACTGTCTTGCCTGGCCTTGACTCGGCCATATTATCTATCGAAAAGGAGTTGAGAAACACATCAGGTTCCTCCTCATCACCATTGGGCCGTGCTTTGTGGACAATGAATCGCGTGATGCCGGAAATAATACGCGCCCCTGGGGTGGATGTAATCCCCAAACGAAAGCGTAAGGATCACATGGCGGAAGAGACCGTTATTCGGAAGCGTCAGGCTATGATGTCCGAACTCTTTGGGATTAGGTTTGGAGAATTTTGAATATGATGCAAAAAAACTTATTGGAGAAATTTCTGAAACTCGTGCACGTTTTATCTTAGGGACCATTCAGATCTGAGTGAAACGAACTTGACATTGGTGGCTTCAGCGGTCACTGGAAAGCAGCGGGCAGAGCCAGCCGATCCTGTTGGCGACTTCAATGAGTTCAGTCGAACCGAGCAAGGTGATTTGCTCGCCATCTCATCGTCCAACTATGTCTTCAGGCCTCTTCTTGGAAGCGCCTTAATGCCTTTGGTCTCATTCTCTCACGTTGACTGATCTTTGAGTCCACATTCATCTCCTTTGACCAATGAGTTAATTTTTGCATTCCAGAACAAATGACGCAATATATGAACTTTGAACGTAGGTGGAAATGTGTGCGGACGTCCGAAGCTTAATTCTACAAGGCATTTTTGTGAACTTGGTAGCAGTGGTACCTGAGACAATTTATATTTTTCCGTCCGGATAGTATTAATGTCTGAAAGGTTACTCCTAGTTAATCAGAATGTTCCCCATTTGAGGACTACTCGATTCCCCTTAGTCGCGTGCCTACCCCAAATTAAATGGCAGGTGGTCGGTGACCTAGGCACACCGGGCCTGGCTCTTCAAGACACAATAGAGAAGAGTGAACATGGGTTGGGAGTGATTCAGAAAAGTTAGTACAAACCAGACCTGATCTTAAATCCGCCAGTATCGTGGACAATGGAATTGGTTTTTTTTTAAATTTCTTAATCATCGCTGATAATAATATAAACAAAGATATAATTTTTTTATACAGAGGTGATCAGTTCGTTATATTTTAGATGCAACCCTTCGACCGACCAGCAGTCGTGATGTGCCTGGGGTGCAGATGACACCGGTAACGGTTAACCATCTAATCAGTACTCCAGTCAAGGTGGTAAAGTCAGAAAAAGAGGAAACCTCGAGCGCTGCTCAGCCCTCACTTCATCTGAATGCCTTGGTAAGCCTGTTTAGTCAATTCTGTGGGCTGGTAACTCGAGCACACATCGATGCCTCTCCTCTCAACGTATAAACCGATCTCTTAGCAACCCCAAAGGGTCTTCGAGTCTCGCCTCGCCTGTAACTTTTTTCGAGTGGTAGTTAGGTGAAGGACCTGCACACACACACACACACACACCGTGGTGTTTGTGTTCCTCCTCGTGCCAAGTGATGTGTGTGTGCGCGCGTGTGTGTGTTAACTGCGCCATGCAGTGTGCTGGTTCCTTTAAGCCCGATCGACAAAACTTCACCATCCAGGGTCGACCCACGATGCCGCAACCTATCGCCTAATTCAATAAGCTTCTAATTGAGTTATGTGCCATGCTTTTTTAAAAAAATAGCTAGTGGTTTTGTTGCTTTGTGACAATTGCTGTTACGTTTTTAATATTTACTGTCCTGCAAATGCATTGTTATGTAAGAGCCAGCAAAATCTAGCCACTTTCATTGTCTTAATCTAATGTTAACTTTGAATTTGACAAGCATTGTTAAACTTATTGACCTCAGAATTCTATGTGTGTGTGTGTGTGCATGTGTTTGAATTCCTTTTTGACCAAGTGGTTTTCTAACAGCCAATTATTCTTGGCAAATTCCAGCACGTAGGTCGAAAAAACCTATCACTGACGTTGGAAAATATGCATATCAGCGCCAGAATTCCGTATTTAATCTTTCCAATATCGGTGAGATTCGACCTTACAGCATTTCTTGAGGTGCGAAGTAGTCTTACAAGGCGTGTGCTTTTAAGAACTGAGCCTACAGACCGCCCGAAAATAGCTCTCTAGCTCGGCGCCACGGCTTCCTCGAAACGAGGACATTTTTTCACTGGGTATTCATCTATGTGTCCTCCAGACTCTTTTCTAGTGCCCTTTTCTCCGGATTTTTTCGTCCCGTTTATCCTATCAAGGCTTCTGCGAAGCACGCAATATGCTCGCTTCGGATGGCTATCGTCCGCGATTCTTAATTGCCTTCAAAACGTAATATACATAAACTGTAATCTTGTCAAAATGCATCGAATACTACATAAAATTAGTTATTTCGTAAGTCATTGTGTTTCCGTGTGAGTGGTCTTCACACAGCACTTTTTTTCTATTTCGTGACAGACTATTGCCTTTTTGAGTCGCCTTCAACTCCATACAATCTTGCCTAAAACTCGTATTTTAAACTTACGCGTAAATCGCTACTTAATACAATTTTTCGGGGTAACTTTGTTCTGGCATTTTCTGTGCCAGTCCGATTTTTCGACAGGTAAAGTCACGTCACTTCTCGTGAGTCTTTGCAGTGGCGCGACATCTCTGAGTAAACTCCTCATTGACGCTTCTGTACACCCAAGTCAATCCAGTATATGCTCAGATAATTGCTAAGACTGAATTGTCTTCGAAATTTCACGCTTATCTAGGTGGGTCAGGTAGTTGGTGTTCACAACGAGTTACTCTCATTTAATCAAAACGACGACTCTACCGAACAATGGGTGGCACTCAACAAGTAATGCCTCTTACCTATTTTTATTGTCGAATAGGGAATTAGTGAGTCCACTTCAAACAAGTGCATAAAAAACGCGTAAAACGTGATAAGACTTGATGTGCATTTAGCACGCCGTGATGGGCGACGTGGTTTCAGGCACGCCTGATTGGGACAGCGAACTTTGGGCCTCTGGTTTTTTTCTGGGCGTCACTACCCGAGGCGTATTATTTGTGTTTTGGAAATCTGGGATTGGCGATGTTAAATTTGCGGGTCCGGTGCGTAGACTGGTCGAAGATAGAAATACAGCGGGGTTTATGAATGTATTTTTTCGGAAGTGAAGTCGAAAATATCCCTGAAACCGCAGATGGTTTTGCTATTGTAAGGCTAGTTTACTCGATTAGCTTTGTATGAGTATGTGTTGTTCACAGCCTTGAGGGCTTTCACGGAGACCAGTTGAGTGCACTCGTGTGTAATGTGGTATGATGGTTTCTGCTTGGTATTCTTACAGATAGCACACATTATTGTGCACACCCGTATAGTACGATGTTTTTTGCACCGCGAATTTGGTTGTGGGGTCATGGATTTAAGCCAAAAATTTCCACCAATATACTTGCACTTCTCGGTTTTTGGCAGCTCACGTATCCGCACCACAGATCTTCAAGTGGCTAATCGTTGCAAATTACCCCGTATACCATTAACTTCCTAGTTTATAGTCTTTTTTACACTTGTCTTAAATTTTAGACTTGCAAGTTCAAAAAACGCACATGCTTTTCGTACAATGTTGAATTTAGGTAGTAAGACCACTTCAAAGTGGCATTGGGGCACTAAAAACTAAACTTTTCCCACTTTGATTGTTTTTCTGAAACCAATTCTTTATGCCCACCCCGATTAGAAATCTTGCAAGCACTGGTAACTTTCATTTGGCGTGACGCCTCAGCACTCATTCACCGTTCCGTTTGCACCTCTCCTCCTTATGTCTTTCCTTACAAAGTCAGAACACGTCGGACAGCCTTGCGTAAAGTGTTTTTAGAAATGCCGATAAGTTGACACGTTGGAGCCTATGTTGGGTGTTGGCAACTGGTAACGAAAGCATCCCAGTGAAGTGGCCGATGCGCATGCAGTAAATCTGCAAGAAAATGACCAGGCAATTAAAAAAACCAGCAGCACTTTCTCCTTTTTAAGTAAATTGTTTTAGCCTTCATTGTTGTTTTAAAAATAGTCATTTTTCCCTCCTATCGGCTTTTACACAATACCGCACACATTGTCATTTCCTGGGGTCTGAATAGTAGAGGCCACCTACTTCTGTAATTTCAGTGACTTCAACCCTCGTTTTTGGCGTTTTCCTTTCTGTTTGACACGTAAGAACTTGGCGTTGACATATTCCGTACATCTGGATGGTATTTCACCTGAGTTTTATAAGGTTTTATCCCTTGTAAACCAAATCCAAATTGTAGACTGTAGTTTTCACCTCGTTTCCTCATGTGGTTACACTCATCGAAAGTCCGATTCTTACTTTTTTTTAAAGAAATGTTTTGTTAATAATCCGTTTACCTTGTTTCCACGCCTAGCAGTCTCCTCTGATCGTACAGACTTGAGTGTAAATTACTTGGGCAACTTTTGGCACTTATCGGTAGATTTCTACCAGTCTGTCCAACACCCAAGTCTATAACAGTCTTACTGAAGCACCAGTGTCTCATCAAACGATAGGCTTTTGCCACCGATCTCGGAATAGCTCTGTTAATGCAAATGCAGTGAATGGACTAATTGTTACCGCCAAAATTTAAAAAAAATTCTGGCTGTGGCACCCAAATTGAGAAACCAAACGTAACCCCGACCAGTCATCATAATCATCAGTAGAAACATTAGAAGAGGTGGAGCCATTTTCGTTGTTACTAGGTATTTATTGCATCAAGTTCACTTTTATATTTTAGATAAATGAATTGGAGTAGGAATTTGGAGACCGGTAAACTGATCGCCAACTTTTTTCCTCAATTTGCTCCTTGTAACTTCTACTAACTTTATGCTTTATTATTGGTCTGATAATTTTAAAATATAATTCATTAAGTGACACCTTTTTTTTCTTTATTTTGGCGATTCTAAGGTTTGTTGTTTCAATATCTCCGTTGATTGGAATCTTGTGTGATATTTTGGTGATTTTGTATGAGTTTAGTGCATTTATTCTCTGATTTTCGATCGGCTTCTTGGCTTTTCAATCTACCACTGCAGCGCCTTTCTCCAATTCTCGCTACCTTTTTCTACAATGGTTTATTTTAGTGTGGTCACCACGAGAATTGAGAGTTGGATCATCTTTGTGATTTTAAGGCGAATGAGGTAATCGACATGCATCAGAAGTTACAGTGTGCAGTTCCGGGATTGAATCCTATTATTTCAACTATACCTTGATAAATAATTGCCTTCACATTGTCCTTGACGTCTGTCAATGGAAACTTTCGGCTGAATTTCGTTTTTTCACCATTGAGCTAACGCTTTTGCGGCAAACGCAATATGTCTGCTTTCGGATATGTCCCTCATTAAAAGCAATTAAATTGTTACCGACAGAATTGTGATTATTGGGGTTTCTAATATGTAAGAATTTACTGCCAAGGATGGTGGAGGACATTATTTCACTGCTTTTTGTCTTCGTGCTCACGCGAACCAACCAAATGTCGCACCAGAAGTAGCATCGTTTGATTGGCTGGTCCGAAAGTGCGGGCTCATGTAAGGTCATCGATGCATTGACACACTGCACAGTACGCGATAGGGTCTCTTCTCAACCGCATCTAGGTGCAACTTTCATACCGAATGGGTACGTCCGAATACGTGCACTCGATTTATTTTCTTATGCTACAACTTTATGTATCCTGAGCATTTCGTCGTTGTTTTTCTACACTTCATAATAACGGGTGTACTTAACTTGAAGAATGTTACAAATTTCCTTAATTCGTGTATTGCCCATTTTATACAGGGCAGGTATTGTTGTTTATGTACCACACTGAACAGGTCGTAAATGTTTCCTATCTTAAAACATAGGCCTCGATCATGAGGCAGTCATTCATTTTGTCTATCCAGATGAAAGTAACTTGGTAGTTAGAACAACGAAACTCGCATACTGCATAACTGCTTTCTCGCCGAGATGCGTGTTAAAGTCCTCTGTGGTAGCTATCTGTTTGGTTAGCAATAGGAGCTTTGACCAGGATGGGTACTAATGACGAATGTCGCACAATCAGACTTAATTCTTTAGACTGTCTCCAGGCCAGGCTAGCAGGACTTATTCTGAGTCGTGTGGTTTGCATTAGAGCACAGAAACAAATTTTAAATTCAAGCTGAGAAGTTACGCAATCTGAAAAAAAGACGTGATGGGCAACTATCTTCATTTTTTGCACATAAACAAGTTTATGCAATGACTAAATTTTACCGTGACAACTGCAACGCGGAGTTCGTTTCCTTCGGATCAGTAAGCAACATAGTGTGCAAGTCTGAGGCTCTAGGGTCTATAGCGAAAGTCAGCCTGCACTACAACCAGTCTCGTAAATAGCCTCTTAGATTGTTAAATAATGGCAATTTTCCATAGAACGCGCAGGTTTGACCTAAGAACAATGTAGTGAACGAGCAGGTTTGACACTGTGATTCCTACAGTCCGCAATTCGGTAATCAATGCTCTGTGGGTGTAGACAAGGTTTCACTTGTTGAGTTTGACGAAATTAGGTTGTAAGATGCTTAATTTTGTCAAGCAAATTTGAACTGCCATTCAGGTTGCACACTTTGTGGTTTCCTGTTTCAGCCACAAACCTCCGCTCTGCCAGTCAGAATTTCGACAATAACGGGAAGCCCTTCAGGCCGACCTTGAAGCCCACGCCAAACTTTAATGTGGCTGCCGATGTCGAGGCTCTTTGCAAGTCGATGCGTTGTTGGGGTAAGTCTTAAACGACTGCCTTCCTGGTTTACTGAGTCCTATAAAACCTTTTTCTGGCTTTTGGGCCCTGATTGTCTAACAGGCTTCCGTAGCCTTTTATGCATTTTTACCACAGCGTCATAATTACGTTATCAAAGAGTTTATGGTTGTTGTCTTAGCTTTTGCTTGTTGGATCTTTAGTCTACTTTAATTTTATACCTTCATTGTCAAGGTACTGATGAAGATACAATCATCAACATTTTGGGCAATAGAACAAGTTGTGAACGTCAGCAAATAGTGGCTGAATATAAGAACAAGTACGGTAGGGTAAGTTGTGCTTATATAAGTAGCAGTAACAATAATAGGCCAGTAATTCCACATTCTGAAATATCGGCGATGACAGCCTTTTTAATGGTTTATATGCCATGAAATTTCCAGACCACTTTCAGACTTCTAGATATCCATCAGGCTGTCTGTAACATCAAGAGCTTACGTTGTAGTAATGAGGCGTTGTTGTCATTCTTTGTATCCCGAAAACACAAGTATTTTGCCCTTCAGGAACTAGCCCATGATCTAGACGGCGATCTGAGTGGCCACTTCAGGGACTGTGCGATCCTTTTAACCGAGTCTCCAATGTACCTCATGGCGAAGTCCCTCTACTATGCCATGAAGGGATTTGGCACAAACGAGAACACCATCACCGAAATCATCGTTGGTTGCACCAACGAGGAGATCAATCAGCTTAAGAAAGCCTACACTTATGGTAAACACACGGTGGTTTTATGTTTCCCTACTTTCACACCTACAGGTGTATTTTTCAAGCGCCACCAAAAAGGTTCCAAAATGTTAGTTACCCTTCCGTAAATCGAGTTACTAAGTTCTATCTTGCATGTTTTAAGGGCAGTGTGTAATTACTTTACAAGCAGTCAGCCGTTAAGGTAGTTAATAGTTAAGTAAATCAGTAGAGCGAACCAAGTAGGTTGGCCCAATACTTGTCATGCTGTGCTTAGTAACATGCACCACTGCTAATTCAGTCCATTTTGAAAATTTCCAAATTTCGAGGTGTCGTGTAAACAATATTTATGTTGAGATGGATATTAACTTTTCAAGATCGCTTAAAGCCTTCTGGCCTAGAACTCGAATTGGGGTCCTTGGAATCGTGAATTTTGGTTTTAACTGTGATCTTACTGGTTGTGTAAAGTAAATGAGGCCTAAGTATGTTCAGTGCGCTGGTAGGCAGTGCACGGTGGTGCCATATGGCAACCGCGAGCACTGTTAACGCAGCAAACAATGAAGTTAAATTTGAGGCCTCTGTATGAATTTTTGGCTATTTTTTATGACATTTAACAAAAATGTTGATTCTCTACTTCGTTTTCCTTGGTTCTATTTTAGTTCTGCGTGACAAAGGAATTAAAGGTAAGTTACGGGTCGCAATTACTCTTTACTGCCAAAGTAGTTCTGAACTTAGTTCCCATGAGGACAACGACATAAGTTTTCGAGTGAATGATATTGGTTAAATTGCTTTACACTCACTCCTCATCTCGATCTATCGCCACACGAGCCAGTTTTTGAGTTCCAAAGCAGGTGGCTTGTATGACGAAGCTTCCAGTTAAGTGCAGCCTCATCATCTGATGACGTCATATCGTGGCATCTTGAGTTACAACTAAGACCTCACTAAGGATGGTTCGTGAGATTGCTCAAAAGGGGAATGGATTACGCAAAGAACAAGCTCCGTATGCCCTAACACCACATCAAATAAGCGTTGTACAAGTGTGTTTGTTGCCATTTCTAGCAGCAGCGGTGCATTCAGGCAACTTCAATGTCGACACCCTTCTACAATTCAAAGTTGCGGTCCTTACCATTGAACGTTTTTGTGAAGGCGAAATAATTGGCTATAAGTTTCTTTACACGTCATTGCTAGAAAAATTGTTTTAAGGGCTTCATTTTAGTGCATGTGTGTTTAATGCAGTGAGAATCGGTCTGGGTCCGACGGACCATTGTCTCGTTAAAGTCCGGCCACCCCATGCGCAATCTTTGACATGAAGACGATTTCAGATTGTAGTAAAACCTGCAATAAAGAATTAGGAACAGTCTGCGGCGTCACCATGCATTTATTTAAGTATGTTAACTTGCTACACCTTCAATATCCACGCCGTTTTAATGAATTCTGTATCATCGAAAAGATGTTAGGCTCACAAGATGTCAGTTTGCATTCGAAGTTGAATGACACACAAGTCAGTACTTCCGCTGCAAGCCTAAACTTTGCATCCTCTGCACCGTAGATCCAAAGCGCACATTGGAGAACGACATTCGCTCGGAGACCTCGGGCTACTTCTGCAAGATGCTGTTGACGATTCTAAAGGGTGACACTCCCGACCCCACGCCGGAACAGCTTCAGGCTTTGCAGCAAAAAGGCGGTGATGTCATGGTCAACCCAAATGAAATCACTAAGGCTGTTCAACAAATCGAGAAAGCGCTCGAAAAGTGAGAAATGTTTTTTTATACATTCCTTGTTTTTTTACTCGCCTTGTTTAGTTCAGCTTCTAGCCAATGACACAAAGGCACATTAAGGGGCGACTGGTTTGTATTTCCTGCAAATTGCCAAGACATGCCCCAATTTTAAGTTTCAAATAGTCTTATAAACATCTGGTAGGTGTAATGAAACGACTGAAGCTTTGCCAGTATTGAGTGTCGTGGACTCGATTCCTGAATGAAATATCTTGAGGATCGAGAGACCAGGTCCTATTTGTGTGGTGCATTGTATCGTGCCAGCGAACTTCCTTTTTTTTCTCTAAACCCATGCCCCATTTTGATCGAAAAATTGTGCTCCTCTAATTCAAGACCAAAGAATTCGGCTTGTCCTCTCCTCATGGATGCATTCAAGCAGAAGAACATTTGGCAAATTTCAGCTATTGAAAAGGAATACAAAAAGGTTTGTTGTTTCTTAAATCGCTACTGAGCAATGCTGTAATAATATTACGTGTCTTAGTTATCAGCCCTTCTGTTTCGTGTTGAGATATGTAAATTCTTCTATCTACGATTTTGATTCAAAAATTATGTGTGAGAATGCAAAATCAGTTTTTTATACCTCTTTTCCACTCTTTACGCGACTCCTAGTTCTACTAACAATGCACTGATAATAGTTACTAAGGCGTAACGCTCAAATTGTAGATTCTGGATGGAGACAGTTGGCTGACCAAATTTAGTTGTCAATGTTAACTTTCAATTAGTGTCAATGGTTTCATTGTACATTTGTGTGAGCCGAAGACGCCTTTTTTTGGTGTCCCTTTTTCTTAACTATCCCAGAAATAAAAGGTCCTGGCAAAACACCAGTTTTCGCATTTACCACCACTTCCGGTTTGGTAACATTTATTGACACTATCTGCGTATATTTTTCACATTAATCATTGGAGCAGGCTGGACGTTAATAAAGGTCATTCTTTCTCTCACACTAATGTGCATTTGTTAACACGCTTCAAGGTAACTGGGAAGCAGCTTATCCAAGTCCTCGGCGACTCTTTGGACGGCGAATTTGGCACCCTGCTTATCGCCATGGGTAAGTTAGTGGAACTTGCACGTTAATACTTCGTTTGGTACTTCCGACAAACCACTGCTTTCGACCCCAGCTATGCGCTCTAGTTAGCCAGCCGATGTCTCTTTTGCTCTGCTAATCCCTTTAGAGAAGGTACCTTTTAACGCCAACTGAAAACCCTTAGTTTTGAGTAATTATTACTCGTGTATTTTGCATTTTTTTTCTATTTCAAGTTGAGCATGCGGTAAACAGACCAAAATTCTATGCTGATCTTCTTTATCACTCCATGGTCGGTGCTGGAACCCACGACTTCCTTTTAATGAGAATCATAATTCTGCGTTCTGAGGTATGAATTTCAAGGACGTATTTTACTCCCGCTTTCTGTTTTTTTTTATTTGGCCTAAGTAGTGTTCAATGGATCAATTGTTTGCTCGTGCAACCTCGTCTATGGTGTCGTTCGACCTTTTTTCGTGTTAAAAGGCGTTAAATGTGTATGTAGTCCCCTATTTTAGTACAAAAATTACAAGGACGACAAAATTTTAGTGATTTTAGTCACAAGAAGACAACGGCAACAGAAAACTAGTTAGCAAACAGTCTAATTAGGCATTATATGATTTAAAAGCGCACTCTGCCGTCGTTGTGAAGCTGCCAGTGACAAATCGAGAATAACCGCTTCGGGATAAGGATTACTTCACATAACGACTACTTTTATTCCGCTCAATCTAAAATTACTTTTCTTAGGTTGAGCATTTTTTATATAATATGCCAGTTTCACTGCCCCATGGTTGATAATTAACTAGCCATAAAATCACTTAAATGGAACGTTTTCGAGTATCCAGTAACGTGTGTTTACTAGACAATATGGTTGCAAATTTTAGATTGATTTACTCGATATCAAGGAAACGTTTGACAAGGAACACAAGAGTTTGGTTGAATGGATCAAGGGTGACACATCGGGTGACTATGAGAAGCTGCTGCTTACGCTGCTAAACGCATCCAAAAAGTAGTCCGTATCATCGACCTTCCATGATCGTTTAATTGTGCCTCCTGCTAGTTCCTTTCAGTTGGTTTTTGTCTTTAAGTTTCTACACAATAAAAGCCTAAGCGTCTTTTAAAAATCCAGTTCTTTTTTTATTCGATTGGATTGGAATTGGGCGAGTAATAAATCCATGGACTAGTCGTGGCTGAATACGGTTTCGTGTTGATTTGCGGGCTGCTAATTATAACCTATGTGCACCAAGTAATACGCATAAGGTAATTACCGGTGGCAATGCTCTCATTTGTCGGAATGCAACAGAGGTAATATTAAGTGGATTTTTTTTAAAATCAACTGTATGCTCCAACGGCCACCAAATAAACACGCCTCACCAATGTGTTGCCGAACCCGATTTAGTTAGCCTGGTGACGTAGCACCTTTAGAAAATCTTTACACACAACTGCCTCCTCCTCGTGACCTTCGCACCTCTAGTCAGTTTGGAAACAAACTAATTAAGCAACCAGTGTCATTAAATAGCTGGATTTTTCTTTCTGTAATTGAGCACACCCGTGCTACTGGATGGGGCTTAGGAGCCAGCAAGCATAAAAATTAGAGTACGTTTACCGTGTGTTCCAAAAGGTACTTTTATGAAGGCTCTAAAAGCATAATGGATTTAACTGGGTTGGAATGAATTGTTCACGGTTATGTTCAGAAGTTGTTCAGATTAAGATCTTTCAGTAAACAAGTTAGCATGAGGTACAAGAATAAGGCGTACATTGAAAACGATGGAGATCACCAACCGATTCTCCATATATTTCCGACAGAATTGAAGTCATTTAAATAAACCTGTCTTGGAACTACTGTCGCATTAGATAGTGCCTTTACTAATTTTCATCCCAAATCCACTCCAGTTCATTTGTTTTCCCGATCATTTAGGACCAAGTTATCGCGTTGGTTACAGATGCTTAGGCAATATACATTGTTATATACTGGCTGGGGCTTAATAACGGTGACGCTCTCTTTACGCTCTGGGTAAGTGGTTTTATCTCCTGTCACCTGTTTTCTCCTTGCTCTTGAGTCTTACGGGCTGCAGCCAAATAGTTAGTGCAACTACGTCTCGTGATGCCGTCTTAAATTCTTAGAACCCTTAGTCTCCTACGATGACGATTTCCATGGGTTAAAAATCCCGTTCAAAACAGGCGTTTTCCTCCATTTTCAAAGCGACTGTTCCAAAGCCTGAGTGTGGTGTAAGCAAACCGAGGCTTTTGCATTCGGGAAGTTGTACTCTATTGCCTTACATACTTTCTTCTGAAGTTGCGCAACTACAGGCGAACTTGAATAAGTTATCGCATTTCCTTTTTGGCAGCCAATTTTCAACATGCACGAATTCTTCCAGGGTTCAGATGCCTCTAAAAGTTTTTTTAATAGTGTACTTTGGGCTTATAAACAGGTACATGAAGTTCATTAAGAAGCACCCAAAACTGGCGTCATCACTTCTTTCAGAGTTTTTGTGAAGATCCGAATTTTACATAGTTTCGTGGACAAATTTCTACGTGTTATCGATTTTGCATGGTTCTAATTTATGGTGCTCAAATGGCCAGTCAGAAAAACTACCAAGGTTCGCTGCATTTGCGTCAAGTATTCACTCGTCCACTTGGAGTAGGCGTCAACCAACAAGGCACGATATCCTGATGATGACGGAACGCTCATCTACTGCAGTGTATTTTCAAAGAATATCTGTTGGATTTTGAGGGGTGTATGATAACTGATGTGTGGCTTTTCGTTTATGCATAATGCTAAAATGACAGCACCCTTTTCGTTGATCAAATTGCTGCTGGTAGGTGCGTGTAAAAACAAAAAATATTTGCAAATGGACTTGATCAGTATTTCGGATCTGGGCGGTTCATGTTAGTTTTGGTCGCGAAAAGGGCCACTTCGTCGTACTTCTCACTGGTGTTGAGTTTTTCCACCGAAGGTACTGATGGCCGTTTAGCAGGTATATTTAATTGGACGCCGACCAAGGAGCCGTCATTGGTTCTTTAAGATGACGGTGACATCTAAAGCCATGTCTTGCTGCAGATGTACTGGACGGGTATTGATGAAGAAAGTTGTGTGCTTTATTTGCTGCTGTGTATATTCCTCGGGGATGACACTTAAGCTGAGCGCGGTGATAGCTGAGGAGGCTGGTTTGGGCTTTGACTTACCATGTTAGCGAGGGCGCTGCCCTGTCTTCATGGACAATGGTGACTGACATTCTTCGTCTTTGTGGCCCATAGCATTGCATTGGTGACATGGACGGTGATTGTATGAACAGAACCTTACAAACGACCAGTCTCTATGGTGCTAGCTCACCGAAGGCGGAGTGCCATTCAAAGCGTCATTCCGAAAGTTACCCCGTTTCCCGGACCATTGACAGCCACCATAATATTGCTGTTTAGACCATTAATTGAACCTCGAGCAGAGAGCTAAATACAATCAAAAGCCGCGCAAGATTTTAAATCCCCTTAATAAATGAGGCTTAATATGCATTTCATTGTAATAGTAAAAAAAGGCCAAGTGAAAGAAGACGGCCGACATAAATGCGAAAAATGGTGTTAATAAACACGACTGATGAATTAAAAGATCACCAGACACCCAAGTGATAAATTCTTGACGATGTTGGTTCCCAATAATCTAAAAAAGTATAATTGCAAACTAAAATAATAGTTAGATAAATTTCATAATATGTTCTACATGCAATACACAGTAGACAATTTACCTGAAGTGTGCTTCCATATCGCATCCCTGTCACACAATATACAAAATTTGTACTGTATAAAAGGCATATAGTCACAGGTTTGTAACAGTTGACTACCCAACAAAAAAAAACAAAAAGAAAGGTTCTAATGTTACCATAAGCCCATTTCAGACCGACATGTGAAAATTTCGCTACAATTGTAGGATAATCGATCTCTAGTATCAAACGTATGGTACAAAAGAAGACAATAAATTAGCTAATCACAAACCACAGCCGCATAGGAGGTGCTGTCCGCCACGCTAACAGGGTCGCTACTTAATTGAATACCTCAAGATTTCACCGCAGGCCAGTCAAATGCACGAATAGAGGATTGGCTAACCTCTGAGTGTTCCAGTATATTCGCGCCAATATACAACAAAGCATCATTTTGTAGAGTAGCCTAGCACTAGTATAAAGACTGATACAACAGAACAGGCTTTATTGACCAATCACAAGCTAGGAACACGCGTAAGGTGCCTTCCATTCGATTCCACCACTCTGGCTACGCCGCTCATTATATACTGCTCCTCAGTCTGTCCTTCTCTGGTTGGCTGCTTATCTTCCTCGCATGCCATTGGAACTCTGAGAGACACAGGATTGGCTGAGGCCAGTGTCCAATATGTCTGCGCCACCAGGCGTCGCCACAATGAACCATACTGCATCACACCACACAACACTTCACTGCGCTACACCCGGACCTCTGTACGTTTTGTTGTTTCTGCACAGGATTGGCTGCGGCCAGGTGGTCCAGCAAGTCTGCACCCCGATCCGACGCCACACTGCCTCCCCCCAGGAGTGAAGCTGTCCTCAGCTTCTGGCTTGGTTCCTTGCACTGTTGTTGATTTCCAGTGTTTGTAAAATATCCAATTCGACACTCCCCAAAACTCACATCTGGCAGGTTAGTGGCCCACGCAAATAGTTGACGAGGGACTTTGCTCTTGTAGACTTGCAGGAAAGGCAGCTTCATCCATCGTAGGTCCATTCGCAGTTGCAGTCCAGCCGGCTTTCTCTGTCCCAGTCGTCGTCGCTGAGTTGCCAACGCCACTTCAGATGCAGTAGTCCTAATCCCGGGCAATGTCTATGGATCCACTTTATTGGACATTGGATTACCACCATGACAAATTCAGCTGACATTCAAGGGTCTTTGCCTCAGTTGACCCTAGACGATAAAGGGCTGGGTTTCGATTCGCTTTATTCGGACGCATCCGCTGATACCAA